AGAAGCCTCACAAACTACCATCAGAGACAAAGAAGCATTCGTATCACATTTGGCTTCGTGAGATGATGGAGAGCTAAGAAGAGCCAAATGTTGAGATATCGAGCAGTGGGCCTTTAGAGCATACCTGCGAGATAACCAGAGAGCTTTCATCCTATACTAAACACAGACATAATGTACCCACTGTAAAGATAATAGCTGATGAAAATGAGGCAGAAGAGGAGTATGTACCTACTGTTCCAGACCTGGTACCAGGTGAACAGGATCATGTGCACCACACTGATTATGAGATTAAAAAAAAAACACTGTTGAAGCTAATGTTTGAGGGTGAGGTTTGTAAATGTTTCTTTTCTGTTGCTGATGCTTGTCACATGCTCTCCCAAACTGAGAACTTAAACAGTTAATAAAGAGTAGCCTCCCACTCATCCTACTGCCAATTAATGCAACCAGCCTAACAGTCAAACTGTTCTGCACTCCCCTCAGCTATCAGACACTCTGACTGCCCTCAAAGGCATTTCCCTGCTATAGAGGTCAAGATCCAGGGTGGAAAAACTGTAACACAGACTTAAAGTAAAATCCTGTTTATTTTATTTTTGCAAAGGACCAAAGCCCCACTCAGGTTACCCAGCAGATCATTCCCAATCGTCATTAAGAAAGGCACGTGGGGCAAAATATTTGCCAAGTTAAATATGTGAATCATCAAGAATGGTCATAAACCAAAATTCTGAGCAAACCCATCCGTCTTCTTTGCCATTTATGCTCTCCAGGGTTGTGGTTAGGTCTATCCCCCAGATTTTAGCAGACTGAAATCAGCAAAGACACCATCAACACTTCGATGGCTCATCAAATGAACACCTGTCACAGTTACCCTCTTCTGATTACCTGTTGAGATCTTCAGGTCCGGATCAAAGCGGCGGACAGGCCAACCACTGCAGTCGTTGAGGCTGCGGCTCTAACACGAACACCAACATCATTCAGTGTTTTAGCAGTGTTCATGAGTTTACAGAGAAACTGCTCCTTGACACTGAAAGAATGATCACGTGGCCGCCGTGTAATTTGGTGTTTAAGTGACTGGAGATTAAATTTTCGTTAAACCATTTGGCTTGCCCTCGTGCGCTTACAGGCATCAAATTCCATTACCTTTCTTGAGCTGCTCATGCTAAACCTTTACTTTTTTACTTATTGGCCTTACACAAGTGGAAAGTGAGTTTCTAGTCACGAGATGCAGCCTTCAGTTTCCTTTATGTACACGCACATGATCTGGTTTAAAGTTTCCCCAAAAGTAGATGCTTTACTTTGTAACTTAAAGAATTTGGTCCAGATATGGCCTAAGACTGTTCATCATTTCATCTCTCGGTGATCTTGGCTTACTCACAAGAGTAGGTTTAAATATTTGGCCAAATAGAAGGCACGTTTTAAAACCAACACCTCTGCTCAGATACCTGCCATAATCAAGAGCAGTGGCGACCTCTGGAGGACACCACTGCAAATTACAACAACAAACCTCACGTTTATGTCAAGCTGATGATTATTATTTTTAATACTTCACTCTTCATCATCACTCATCTACTAACTTCATCTTGATTATGTTTGATAATAAAAAATAAGATTTCCTTGAGTTTTTAATGTTTAAAGTAGAATTAGACCTGCTGTGATATATAGCGTGGAGACAGTGGCACCGACAAAAAGACAAGAAGCAGAGTAAAAGATGTTAACGTTTTTATTAGTGACCAGGAGAGACATGATTATTGTTACAGCTCAGGTTGAGTGGTTTGAAGATAAAGCCAGAGAGACTGAGATGGTTTGCACATGTGCAGAGGACGGATAGTGGATATATTGGACAAAGGATGCTGAAGATGAAGCCGGCAGGTAGCAGGAAAAGAGGAAGACTACAGACAAAATTCATGGCTGTAGCGAAGGGAAGGCATGCAGAGAGATGGTTGTGATAGAAGAGGATAATAGGGATAGGGTGATATTGTGACCCCTGAAGGGAGCAGCCAAAACAGCGAGAAAAAGGCAAAGAGTGTTCCTTCAGTGAGAGGCAGGTGTTTTTAAATTTTTTAAACTTAAAAGTTTAAAACCAGATTTTCCTTCAATTGTGAAATTGTGTAACCACTAGATGGAGTGAGAGGTTAGTGTGAAACATACAGTACAGAAGGCCTCACTGTAATCTGGATGTCCCGTAGAGATTTGAACACCTTGTTTTTAAGGCGATAGTTGTCTCTGCTAATAATATTACACTTAACAGTATTATTCTCTTCTTTTGCTGAAGCTTCCCTCTTTAATCAGCTGTGGTCTACAGTAACAGAATAAATGACCAAAAGTCAGGATCTCAATAGAAAACATTTGTGTGCAAGTATGTATGTGTGTGAAATGCTACATTAAAAAAACTGCATTCTTTCAATTGAAATTATTATTTTGTTTTGCAATATTCATTAAAACTTTGGGAACCTCTTGTTGTTCTTCTCCGTTGGCCCTCTATTTCTGTTTCTCTTTCTGTGGGTATATGTGCCCTTTATCGCTCATGGTGTCAGGGCACCTGTTCTTGCACGCTTTCACGCTGTCTGATCTTGGTCTACTTTGCATGCTGTGGGGTTTCTTCACCCTCAAAGTGGAAACAAAGGGCGGGGGAAGACATGTGCAACATGTGATGGAAACTCAAACCTTATTCCGGATCAAAGAAATGGATCAACAAAGAGAGGGGTGGACAAAAAGGAAAAGAGGAGTTGCATGAAGCAGAGAACCTTCCGAGCGGTCCACAACAAAACAGCATCATGTTAATGTTGTTTTTTCTTCCTTCCTTCAAACCTCCTCTTTTTTTGTCTCTCCGGTCTCTTGTTGCTTCTCTGTCTTTAACGCCCCATCTGTTTGCTTCTCCTCTTCCTTCCTCTTTTTCTTGTTTTCTTCATACATTGTGACTCATATGTACTTTTTTCCCCCTTCTTCCCCTCTTTTCTTCTTCTGCCGGCCTCTTGAAACTCACGCTCAGTAATCTCTGTCGCCCAGTTTTCCTAAATTTTGGTATGAAAACATACATGTCTTGGTCTTGTCAGCATAGCAAGGTCACATTCTTTCATATAAGTAAGTGAGAGTTAAATAAGATACACAGCAGCTCAGAATCTTTAGCATGTAATCAGTGTCGGGAAGGTTACTTTTAAAATGTATTCCACTACAGATTACAGAATACATGCCCCAAAATGTATTTTGAAATGTATTCCATTATGTTACTGAGAGTAACGTATTCTGAATACTTTGGATTACTTAATAAATCACACAGCAATGTACTATTGCTGTGTGATTTATTACTGTTACTGAAGGTTACTCGCCATACCACTACCAACTACATTTAATATAAAATGAATAAGTGGGGTGGACATTAGGTAAGGCTGCACTTTTTGCAGTGATCTCATGTTGAAAACTATTCTGCGCGTATATAAAACAGGTCTGCGGCTCCGAACCGTAATAAAGGGACCTCTGGCTAATATGTCAGGATCCGTAGCCAAAAAATAGCTTTACTTTGTTGTCTGGGTCAACTTTGCTTGCGAGAGACAGAGAGAGGCGTTGAAAGGCTGCTGCAACAGAACTTAGTGTTTCGAAGAAAAACACGAACACAGTGTACAGTCGAGTCTTAATAGCTTACTTACAGCTGGGCTCGTCAGGCACTCTTCTTGGCTGCAGTGGTTGTTATTATATTTACATGCTTCCAGCTCCCGTTTCTGTTCAGTGACAACTGATACTTTTCGACTCTCCTTTTTCTCCCTCCTCGTGCTCACAGGCACATAACGGGTATCTGGTCTTTAAGTGATGACGTGATGAATCCTGCTTCTGGGCCCAAACTACCCTGTGTTTAATAAGGCTTTTGTGTTTTTAACATGTTTTGATGCTTTGTATCTTGTTCTATTTATTCTCAAAAAGCCCCTAAAAACAGATCACTCTTGCCCTCTACTGGTTTTTATTACCACTATTCATTTTAAAGCTCAGTTTTTAAACCTTACGATGCAACTACAGCCCAATTTCTAAATGATAGAAATTTTTGATCTAAACATGAAAACTTCTCCAGCATCTCTCACTTCAGATGTAGCTCCTCACCCAAAAAGCCAAGAATGAACTTGGCCTAAATCTTCATCAAATCCCCCTAAAAGGTAAACATTCCAATACAAGCTGGTCCCTTATAGATGCAGCCCCCCCCTTGCCAGCTACAACACTAGCTGGCAAGTTGAAGGGACCCTGTAGATTGATGTCCGTGTGACATTAGCCGGGTAAATACTACAGAGTAGTATTCAGATCTGCCCTGCAGATGCACCCTCTGTCTTTCTTTATAAGATCTTCTTCATAATAATAAAACTATATACCTTTTTCAGTCAATTTTCATTCTTTAAAAGAAGACAAGTTGACAAAAGACATCTAATGGAGCACAGAGTTCAATGTTCCCAAGTGAAATGTCTGTGAGAAAAAGTGTAGACCTACATAATACTAATTTACACTCCTGCACATTTCCCCTGACATCAAAGAGAAGCATTAGACATCCATCTACCACCGGGCCAGAGTTTGACTGTAATAACATTTACTTCCTGGCCATCTCGTGCCATCCATTCACAGTAGGACTGTGCGTACTCGCCGTTACACTACCAAAGTCCTCCTCTTTGCAGGCGGGCATGGCACAGCCTCACAGAGATGCACCGACATTATCCATTCACCGAACACTGGCCAACGCAAAACTGCAAGAAGCCAAGTTTTTCGTTTTTTCTTTTCTTGCCTTTGATTTGTAAATACCTCTGTTTCAGTGCGACAACTTCCAGGCTTGTATCTTATGACCATCGAACATTTACATGAGAAAGTTGACAAAGGCTGAAACAGCGGAGGAGGCCTTGCAACAAAGAGTCCCATTTATAGCGTACAGTCAGGGAGAGACACTGAGAGGGAGGGTAGGAGGAGAAGCTGGGAGGGGAGTTGAATTAATGAATTAAAAATGTTGCGAGGCAGCGTCCGTCTGAATAGTTTTGGGTTTATATAGAGAGGCATGCTGGGTGGACCCTGGAGGAGTGGACAGCGCAAGCTTCTTTAACTTGTCCCTGTGGGGACACAGAAGGCTTCACATGCAAGGAGAGGCAGACTGTGCTCATCCGATTACATAATGATCCAGCAACAGTGAGCCGGAACCGGTACTGCCAGTGCCAGCGTGCTGCTGCGGTACACTGACTGACCGCTGGGACTCCTCATCCAGGCCTCTCCTCTCCTCTGACGGCTTTCATGTTTTTCTCAGTGAGTTTTTCTTTCTTTCTCTTTCTTTTAATCTTTTTTTTATGTATTTATTTATTTTTTAGAAATATAGGATGTCAGCAACGTAGGAGGACTGTGAAAGAAAACTAGGAAAACAACGAGATGAGGTGAAACATGCGAAACGTGTCAACAAGTGCTATTCGTTCAGCACCCTGAAATTTCACACCTGTTTTGGAAGGCAGATAACTTTCACCTCTTCCCACATGTTTGGTGGAAAGTGAAATTAAGTACATTTTTAAAATTTCCAAGCTGTGGGCAAAGTGAAAAGTTAAGGGAAAGGTAAGAAATGCAAATACTCTTAAAGGAAGCGCATAAACAATCTGAAAAACTATTCTAAAATGTATATTCTGTAGCTGTTTCCACTCACCAAGACATGATTATAAGGTTAAGTTTTGTATTGTTTTGATATTTGTGGTTAATGTAGCTGACATATGTTAAATCTTGGAATAGTCACTTTTTCTTGCTATATTATAAACATGAGAAATCCTGCAGTTTAGTCTTTGAACTTTTTTCTATAGGCTTGAGGGAAACTGGTGCTCAGTTTTGTTGCAGCGGCTGTGTTGTGTTTACAGTGCGGAGGGGTATGAGTGGTGTGTAGCAATGGATGAGTTTCCACTTCTAAATCTGTGCACTGTGACACAGAGTTCATGTAGCTTTGAAGTTACAAAAGTTTCCAAAAAACAAGCCTGACTTAGTCATCGAATATTTAATTTTGGAGCTGGATGTATCGGAAGTCGAAGATTGTTGGCACTGTACCACAGACATACATTACTAACAAAGAGCTCTACAAACCACAGAGGAAACAACAGGTGTGGTCTGTTTCACTACTCTACAGAAAATCTTTGCTGGAAATATCTGGTCAAATGAATCACTTCTTCTCATTGAGAAATCCCCAGAAGCAGCCATTCAGATTTATATCAGATTTATAGTAGCTTTGGCTACTGCTGACTTAGAAGAAGATGGTAAAAGTCACTCCTGAGTAATTCCCCTGTGGCCAACAGCCGCTCGCCATTGTTTAATATGGGCCAGCGTCGTAACTCTCCAGTCACTGACTCTTGGAGACGGAAGTGAAAGTGAATTGTTTCATGGTGGATTTAGATGTAGTCTGGTACAGTCTGATGCTATTTTGAGAAATACGTCTGGTCACTGTAGACACTGTTTACTTCCTGTTTTTAAAATGTGAATAAATGTAAATCACATTTTATAGGTGTAGAAATACAAACAATCTGAACATTATGTAAGTTCAAGTTAAAATGGCAGAAAATGATGTCTATAGTTTATTATGACACTCATATGGAGTTGCATTTAATGGGGAAATGTACTGCCGGAGGTGCATGCACTGAATGAACTCCAGCAGCTTCAGATGCACAAGCTTTAGTACGTTCTGAATAATAATATTATTTACTTGTAAACAAACTGCATGTCAGATATTAAACATTAAGCAATTGGTTGCAAATTATACATTTAAAGGTATATTCTGTAATTTTTTAGGTTAGTTAATAGGGAGAAAGGATATGTAGAACTCCAAAGGCAGAGGAGAAGATGAGTTGAAGGTGTTTATGAGCCATGAAGGGACATCTATTCATGTCTGCACCTTCAGACTTATGACATTAAGGATCATATCTATGGATTATCATCAGAGAAAGAATCCCCTTCCCCAAAGAAATAAAACATGAAGGAAAGCGACAACACCACCAGCATCTTGATAAAATGTCACCCTCTTCCACCTCACCACAAGCATGATCTCCTGACCTGTCAGGGCTCTAAGACACAAATAATTATTTATTGTCACAAATAATAATTATCAGACATTCAACCCTCCTGTCTCCAGACAGCTGCCAATAAGCCAGCTAAACATCAACAGCAGGTTACAAGCTAATGCTATGTTGGTGAATGCTAGGCTCAAGTGTCCTTAAAATCATACGTTGCCTCTGATAAAGTGTTTGATTACATTATCAAATCATATGAGAATTTATTTGCTAAGCATCCGTGTCCAACAATGTAACATTCACTTCAAAGATAGCTAACGCCGGCAAACGGAGCTAATAAAGGCTAACAGCAGCTAACAGCGGAAACAAAACAGTAAAAGTTACCGACAGTTCAGCACATACTCAGCAACTCATCTTAGCATCCAGGGCTGGACTGGGACAAACAATCGGCCCGGGCATTTTGACTAGAGACCGGCCCACCAGGTATTATAGGAAAAACCATAAAGCCTTTGAATGAAAACAAACGCTGTTGTCACAGTGATGTATACTGTGTTGTTGGTATATATGCATCAGTCTAATAAACTTAAACCTACACCATCCTCCCTATTCTGGTACTCTAAACAGTACCCGAAAGTAGACTGCTTGGTCGAGTTAACTTCCAGAACTATCTACAACAAATGGTGAAAACCTGAAATTAAGACAGAGAAGACTAGAGGTGAGATGTGATGCTGCTGTTGTTTAGCGCGACATCCGCCGGTTTCTTCTTTCTGACGCAAAGTGGGCGATAAACGAACAAGAGAGAAAAGCCGATCAGCTGATCATTGATCAGTTTCATGATTGACGTAGAAACAGGAGAGGATGAGAGAAGAAGAGGCAGCTGTGCAGCAAAGACACAGAATAACTGCAGCTTTGTGTCTTTTTCATTGTAGCTGAAGTCTGGGACAAACTGTTCCTTTTCACCTCAATACGAAACGCGTAATATTTTCTCTGAATACGAGACGATTCCGTTTTTTACGGGATGGTTGGCAACTCTAATAATTAACCTTATAAATAAAATAAGAAAAACAAGTTCAACATCAATAACATCATAGAACCTGCCCAGCAGTATATAAACTCCGTCGTGCTAGCTAGTACGCAGTACGAGTTATTGTAACTGACTGTAAAAAGTCAGCATAACGAAAATAAACTCCACCTAAACTTGATTTATATCTGACCCAGTTAGACTGCAGGTCATAACTTCTTACCTGAAGTTCAGTTCACCACCTCAGGTCTCTGCTCCTCCTGCCTTTCCGTCATCCACCTGCCAGCGTGTTGCATCTGCTGGCCTCCACCACTTGCTAATGTTACTGAATCTGTGGAAGCTCCGCAATAGCCACCACCAAACAACTGAGTTATTTTTACACATCTCCCAGCATCTGGCCAATCCACCACCTTTCATTGTTTATACCGTTACGGGAAAAAAACCAAAAAACCCCAAAACCCATTGGCCCATAAAAACGAAAAATCACCATTGGCCGATGGCCAGTCCAGCTATGAGAGCATTTGTAATTGGTCAAAAGTGAGTTTCACTGACTAATCAACTCATCATCCCTTCACAAGTAAGTAATGGCAGATGCTTCCCACCTGGCATTGACAGCTGAGGTCAACAGCGGCCCAACAGCCTTCCACAGTTATGGAAAAACTCTGGGGTGGAATACAGTGCAAGTGGTATTTCAATCATGCCCCAATTTAATGCTAGTTTTGTCTCTCTTGGCTGAATAAAACATGTTCGTCCCGTAGCTGCAACCATAGCTAGAATTATGCAGTTGAATTGGGAGACTTCAGTTGACTGCAATCTACTGACATGTAGCAGTGAAATATGTTACACACTGTAACTTTACTAATGTGTGCTACTTAGTCAAGGTTCCCACTAATTATTCCCAAACCCTCTAAATAGATTCATCTTTTATAAATATGCCTTTTGCAATAGTTTAAATAAAGTTTTCACATACAAAGAACAGCTCGAGTCTGCAAAAGTTTTAGTGTCTGAACTTCAGCCATGAGACAACAGCAGCTCATTTGCATGGTAGTGTGAGGTCCAGAAAGTTTGTCTTGTTTGGCCTGAGCAGATGCCCTCTTGGCACATTGTTGATGCTTAGATTGTCCTTTCAGTCCAGTGCACAGGCCGCTGTGGTGTGGCCAGTGGTCGCAGCCATTCAAGCTGTGCTGTATAGACTCTTTTCAGTGCAGCTTACTGGCTGCTGTGGGTTCTTTATGATTGTGGACCCTGGATGGAGGCCCTGAGTAGAAGGGATTACTCTCGCCTCTGGAATACTAATGACGCTCTTTTGTCAGCGATCTGCTTCCTCCACCTTCCCTCCATCTTATTCCTTCCTCTTTTTCCCTCACCATCCATATCTCTCTCTCTCTTCCTCTTTCACTCTTTTTGTCATCAGATGTCCAACTTTCTCTCCATCCTCCCCTCAAAACTAATTATTCTCTCTCTTACCCCGCCTCATCTCGGCCCCCTCACAGTGTCAAACACTGCATACTCGCACACCATCAAACACATTCGCAAAGACACACAACACACACACACTTCAGTGCTCAGTTCTCCTCTCCTTTATCCCCGTCTAACTTGCTCTCTCGTTCACTCACTCAGTCGTATTTTTCAATGGTGGCTTTTGTCCCTTTCATCTCCGCAAAAACAAAGGATTCTTGTGCACACAGGACAGAGGGAAGGAGAGGGCTGAAGGGCAGGACACAGAGGAAGAGATCCTAACCTTGAGTGGTCATCCAATAAGTCATGTTGAAAGTGTGGGAATCCATCAGTCTTACTGTCAGCAGGAGGGATATTTGCTTTAGCTCAGCTAACATTGGTATTCTTACCCTCTAAAGAGACATTTGATGAAAATGAAATTGTAAACAGACATTTTGGTTTTTATTACAGTTTGCTTTAGTATGTCTTTATTTATTATTTGTTTATAGAGAAGTGCCCATCTATGGATGCTTAAAAATAGCAAACAATAAATTTCTTTATGTCTAAGACTATACTGACATAGGAAGTGTTGTTGAAATTTAAAGTTTTTCTTATCAATAACGCTCATGAGGAGATCTTTGTAATAAATCTCAACTGTTGTCCAGCAATTATAAAGTCAAAGTAAAAGCAATGCTTGACATTAAGAATTCATCCACAGAAGAAAATAGTGCCCAAACAAATGCACTAGCACAGGTTTTTCTACAGTGCACAACTTTGAAATAATATTTTACAAACTTGAATGTGAAAAGATTCAGATGCTGTGTAAAATGCAACTAAGAACAGAATTAAACGATTTGCAGATCTCATAATGCCCTAGTTTATTCACAGTAGAACACTGGGCTGGCAACAGGTCTGCAAAACGAGTGGGTGTGAAAAGAGCATCTTGGAGAGTCAGAGTTTCTCAGAAGTGAAAAATGGGCAGAGGTTCACCAATCTGCAAAAGCTGCATCTACACATTGTAGAACAAATTCAGGATAATGTTCGCTAGACTACAATTTTATGAATACCAAATCAACTACAGTACATATTATTGTCAAAAGATTCAATTTAATGCCAGATGCCAGAAATTAATACAGGATGTTGCATTAAAAACAAATGATTCTGTGATGGAAATCCCTGCATGGACTCAGAAACACTTCCAGAAACCACTGACTGTGAACACGGTTCACTGTGCCATCTTAAAAATGGACTGAGGCAAAGTAGAAAACTCTTCTGTAGTCAGATAAACTGAAATTTAAAATTTCTTTTTGGAAATCATTGACAACATTCTCCATACTAAAGAGAAGAGTGACGATCCAGCATGTCACCAGCACTCTGTGTGCTGCATTGTTTGGTATGGCAGTGTACTAGTATCTATTTGCAACTTGCACATCTGTATAGGCACCATCATACTGAAAGGTATAGCAGGTTTTAAAGTGACACATGCTTCCATCCAGATGAGATCTATTTGAACAAAAGCCTTGTATATGATAGCAAAAACATTGTAAACCAAATCAAACTGCACAACAGTGTGTCTTTATAGTAGAAGTGTCAGTTGAAAGAAGAATGGATGTGACACAGTTAAACACGTCCCTTCCTCTATCCTAACATTTTTAAGACTTGTTGCTGCCATAATACACAAAATATCCTTCTTTTTTTCCCCTTAAAATAGTAATTTTTAAAATGGGTGTGTTTTCCGGGCCCTCTGACCACCACCAGTAGGCAGTGGGTAAAGTGTCTTGCCCAAGGACACAATGACTGAGACTGTTGGAAAAGGGGCTCGAACCGGCAACTTTCCGGTTACAAGACGAACTCCCAACTCTTGAGCCACAATCGCCCCGTGGCTGTTTTAAAATAGCCTAAAAAACAGATCCTGATTCTTTATTATAACTAAATTACCCATATTTCACGTGTTCTTTGCTTTATTTGTTTATTATAAATGGCAGACAAACATAACTGGAGAGCACAGTAGAAATATTTCTCTTTTGAGCTGTTGGAGTGTAAAATGAGCTAAAATAAGACAGAATGTTGGACTTATAGTTACCACGTGAACTTAAACATGATAAAAAAGAAACAATAATGCTGTTCTGTGTCTGCTTAAGGTTACTATATGCCAATATTGTGTTGCCACTTGGTTGTCTTTTCCCCAAGTTAATAAAATAACCTTTTACTTAACAGCTAAAACAGTGTTCTCAGTTGAAACGAGCAGGCTTGCTAAGACAGGGACTAGTTTCTTGCTAAATTCTAGTATTTTTGTGGTATTTCAGGACAGTAAAATTGAATATACGGAATAAAGAAGGCCTTATCCTTTAAATTAGTTTTAGGTGATGCATGTTTTTTTTGGACTGTGTTGTTTTTGCAAACCACACATTCCTTTGAACAACAGCTGGGGTTGTGTTACTAACGCTAACTGCTCAATATATATCCAAAGCACAAGTGTGCATTTACTGTATGTGTAGGCAGGCTTTCTGTAGGGTTCAGAGTTCAGCTGGAGATGGACAAGGCCAATCACATGTGCCCGCCCCAGACCATGCCTTCCTCCCCTCTTGCTCCTGTCCACATCTTAGTATTCATAGCAGTGCAGACTTCAACACAGATCTCTATTCATTCACTCAGTGTGAGCTGAGCATGGAGAGAGGGGAGACAGGGGTCAGGAAGGACAGGAAAGGACAGTGTGTATCAGATTGCAACGATCCTTAGGCCTTTGTTTGTGTTGTTTTTGTTTATGGTTTTGTTATATTTGCTCCGGAAAGCAGAGGCAGTTTGAGACAAAAGGGCTGTTTAGTAAACAGCGAGCGCAAGAAGAGGGAAGAAAGGAAAAAGAAGGATGTGTAGAAAGAAAGAGTGCAGCCCAGATGAGGGTGAGGTTGTTGAGAGCACAGGAGGGAATCAATAAAGTGACAATAAGTGTCCATGGCAGCCAGAGGTGGGGTGGCAGGCCTTTTAGTTAATATACCATTGACACTATGAGAACCACTTAAACCATCACTTATTGTACCGTCACAGGGTATTGCCAGTCACGCACATGCACGTGACAAACTCTCTAGTTCAATGATGAAGTCGTAGCTTTGGATATTAAGCCATAGGCATTAATATGCTGCTATGATGAGTGAGTCTTTTCATCACATTTTGGAGCCTGGCTGCAGGGATTTGTTGTCAGTCCTCCACAGCAGTATTAGAAAGACCTGACCTCCAGCTGGCTTTCCAGTTCATCGCCAGAAGGTGTTGGATTTACTTACAAGCCCATCAGAGTCTTCCAAACTCTGAAAATCATTTTTTCGGAACTGGATTTGTACATTAGATCACTATTGTGTTGAAACAGGAACAAAAACATCAACAAAATGCACACATGTAACGTTGTCCACTGACATACTGTAGTTATTTCTTATGTTTACTTTTTATTTTTCTATGGTAGACATTTAAACATCTCTGACTAGCAAGTCAGCTCATCACCTGCTAAAGCAGCATTAACTTACATGCAAACCTCTATTTTTCGCTAATACCAGAGCAGCTACACTTCCCTAGCTTCTACTACACACTCTGCCAGTGGCGGTCCTAGCCTGTTTGGCGCCCTGGGCGAACACTCCCTCTAGCACTTTTTCTTGATATTTATTTATAATCACCTCTGTTAATCCTTGATATTTATAATTGAGTGATCTGTATATAATAGTGCTATTTCTTAAATATGTAAAATCTGTAACATAATGTATTGTTTGGAGTTTAGTTTGTTACTGTTACTGTTACCAATTCTTCTTGAAGCAACTGTAACCCACATAATTTCCTTAGGGATTAATAAAGTATTCTGATTCTGATTGTTTCAGGATGACCTGCCATTATCCAATGACACATCTGCTTACCTGTATCTTTTGCTCGTTTTTCCTCCTCTTCTTTTCTCTTTTTCCTAGACTGAGCACCTGATGGCTTTGAACTTTTCTTGTCAATCTTCCATTGGTCTTAATTTTGCACTCCAGTATGAACACAAATCCTCCAACCCGAGGATCACCACAACATAACCTACACCTTAGTTCACAGATTCACTTTGTCTAGGCTCTATTTCTGCGATTTCGCACAACCCAGGATTCAAATCATGAATACATAATGGTCATGGATTTACAACATTATGAAGGAAATGTGCTCTATTTGGAAGCAGATAGAAAACCGATCTGTGCCTATGCCATCCCCAAAATGCGCTGGCCTGATGTCGGGGCAGCATGAGTAGGAGCAACTTTCTTTGCTGATGCTCGTGATGCCGCCCTGGGCAACTGCCCATGTCGCCCATATCAAAAACCGCCACTGCACATCCCTCGCTAGATCCCCGTCACCTAAATTAGCCACTAATACTAGTAGCACTGATAACAGCAGGCTATTTAAAAAAGCTAGATTTAGCCACTGTAACACCAACCAACAGAAACTCCAGTTTTGAAACCTCGGCTTTATCTTTACAGTGATCTTCACGAATAGCATACTAGACTTTCATTTAGTAAAACTGTAGATTGAACTTCTTGGAAAGTTGGAAAGTAAAATCAACCACACAGCAACCCATATTACTCATCAGAGTTTTAGATTGAAAATTACTCTAAAAAGCACCAACACTACAAAGGGGGTTGGGGGGAGGGGGGGGGTAGTCATTCAGAGCAGTGGAGGTAAATCCTAGCTGGTGACCACAGCATTAACAGTTTTGCTACTAATATTTCACTAAAAATATTCAAGACACTGCAGAATTTGGGCCTTCTGTGTTGGCTTTACTCTTCAAACCCTAGTGTTATTTACAAAGTACATGTGCAAGAGGGCAGTTTGTCATGTGCTGCAAATGCTTCACAACTAATGTCAGTCTTAAAGTAAAAACACATTAAGAAGGAGTGAAAACTGCTTTTAGAAAAACTGAACAGGGTGTTCACATCCGTGGCTCAAGTTTAAAGACCTCTTTTTCTTTTATATAAAAAAAGGTCACTGGTGCATTCAGCAGCTGTCTAGTGCAACCAACATGTGAAAGAGCCTGTGCTTTCATGCTTTTAATGTGAAAGGGCAGCTGTGCCTTCAGTGAAAGAATAAAGGGGTCTTAAATGGGCCGCCGTGGATAGCTAGCAACTGTCCAGCTGAAAATGTGCCTTTAATGCCTCTCTTCTTCTTCTCCTCTCCTCCTAAATGTTCCACTCTGTCATCTTTCTTTTTCACGTGCTTATCGAATTCTCTTTTTCTTACGTCCTTCACTCTTTCATTTTAAAACACCCGCTGTTCATTTTATTTTACTGCCCATCCAACCAATTCCCCTTTATTCCTTACTATCCTTTCCTTTCTTTTCCTTCATACTTCTTTTGCACACCTTTCCTTGTGTCCTTACCTCTTGCTGTGTCCTCTTTCTTTCTCCAATACCATGTAGCTTTGGTCATGACCTCAGCCACACCGCCTTCCTCTGAAGGCACCTCCCCTCAGAAAGTTTGCCATTCTCAGACGCAGACTGACATCACCAAGCCCCTGCTGACCCCCACAGATGGAACTGGCGGTCATGCAGGAGTGGGAGGAGCTGCATCTGGAGGTCCAAGTGCTCTGCGAAGGCGGCGGCGTGTCCTTTCTAAAGATGGGCGGAGCAATGTACGCATTGAGCATGTAAGTGGAAGAGGGGCGCTGTACCTCCGTGACCTCTGGACGACTTTCCTGGACATGCAATGGCGCTACAAGTTGTTCCTCTTCTCGGCTACCTTTGCGGGGACCTGGTTCGTGTTTGGAGTACTTTGGTATCTGGTGGCCATGGTGCATGGAGACCTACTAGGTAAGCATGAAGAAGGGTCGACAGTGGAGAGTCAAACGAGAGGGGAAAGAAAACTACAAAGTAAAAGCAGAAAAGATTTTAATTGGCCTTTAAATGACACAAAAATTGAAATCATTAATTCAAAAGAAGCAAACTGTCATTCTGAATAACTCATGTCGTAAAGGGAAAGTGCCTCAATGGGGGAAATAATAAGTTTCATTTTAATGGACAGAGACAGAAGATCACAGTACATAAAAGTTAGAAACTGATTACATATCGATGTGTGAAATAAGTATTTGATTCACTACAAGCCACGTAAAATTCTGCCTCACAAAGATTGCCAGTGTGCCGATGTGGCACACAGGTTTCAATCAATGAATCAACCAATCAAAGATATTCCCGATCCAACTCCTTATGTATATAAAGCACACCTGTCCACAAAACAAATTTCTCTGATTCCTGTCTCTCCATCACCATGGGGAGCACTAACCAGTCAAAGCACATTGGGAATAAGACTGTAGACTTGCGTGAGGCTGGAATGGGCTACAAGACCATCAGCAAGAAACTTGGTGAGAAGGTGACAGTTGTTGGTTTCATTACTTAGAAATGGAAGAAACGACCATCAATTGCCCTTGGTCTGGAATGCCAAGCAAGTTGGCATGTCTAGTCATTAAGGACATGATTGGTAACACACGATGCTGTAATGGATAGCAATCTTGCAGTGACGTTCCTCTGTTCAAGAAGGTTCAAGGAAAAATCTAAAGGATTCAGGCTTGGGAGAAAGTTCTGTGGTCAGATGAAACCAAAATCGAGCTCTTTGGTATCAGTTTCACAGCAACTTGAGTTACTGTGTATTGACGAAGCGAAAACAACACCACCACCGATGTCAAGCTTTTCCTAGAGGACCTACTTCACTTCCTTTCCTCAGTCAGAACACTGAAGATGAGTTGTTGACAGGTCTTCTAGCACAACAATGACAAGCAGACTGCCAACACAATAAGAGACTGGCTAAAGAAGACGCACATTAAAGTCGTGGAGTGGCCTAGACAGTCTCCAGACCTCAATCTATGGGCTCGAATTGTGGTCATAAATATTTTGTACTTGTAAATCAGGATTTGTATGTGTAAAAAGAATTTGTGTGTGTAAAAAAAGATTTGTGTGTGCACACAGCAAAAAAAAAATCCCTGTGAAACTCTGCACTCAAGTTTCAAGTTACAAGTACGAATTTTGACCCTATTTTTCTTCCTTTCAGCTGATAGGTCAATGTCATGTCAATCACAAATTGAACTATCCAATCAGAGAACAGATTGGTTTGGCTGTCGGAGCGATGCTTTACTGAGCTGCAGGTCCTTGAAGGGTAATACAGTTTGAAGCTGGAGGATCTTTATATAAATATTCCATAAGGCTCATACAAGCTAGGTCCTTTAACTTTTGGTAGCTGTTGAAAGGATACAGTTGTGGTATACCAGTGGTCAGAAATACCATTATTACTTTAGTATTACTTTAACACAAAATCAGTGTTGAACTGGGACCATTGCAATGAGTCACACTATGCAGCATGAAGGTGGTTTCACATCGGACTTGGCATGGATCTAGAATTTGTTGCGCTGACTGCTGAGCTCTGCTTGTATATCGTTTTTTAGCGGCCGCTCTAGGTGTACTAGATGCACCTGATCCTTGTCGTTTCAAAACATGTATCTCTCTGACTTTATCTCCTCTATACGAGAGTTTGTGTTGAATCATGTTCAAATGTTTAATAAAAAAGTATCGCTCATTCATAACGAGGAAAGCTTTGTAACTGTCCCGACTAGTGAAGAGTGTGTCAATTCCACAACGCTGCTTTTCCTCCGAGGTCAACAGTGCATTTGAAAACGCTCTGCTGGTTCCTGTGTAAGAACGTCAACCTGCGAGAAAAAGTTTACTTGGACACACGCAGATGCTTTCCTTCAAGCGGCAGCTGAGATACGCTAAAGGATTTAGAGAGTTTGTCTGAATAGAAATGGGCAAAAACCCCCTGAGATTTGCGCAAACCTTGTAACCAACTACAAGAAATGTCTTAGTGCTCTACTTGCCAACAAGGGATTCCCCACCAAGTACGTTTACCAAGTCACGTTTCGATTGGGATCCACTACTTATTTCATTCAGTTGCATGCAAATCAATTCTTAACTTTTAGGTAATTTCTGTCTCTCTCCTATAAAATGCATAAAATTAGAGACTTTTCATTTCTTTGAAAGTGAACAAATTTACAAATTCAGTGGGTGATCAAATAATTATTTAACCACTGCATACAACATTTCATCAGCAGTAGTGTTGCAGTAGTAGTAGTTGGCAATTTCATTAAAGTCTTAGTCACACAGGCCTAGAGACTGGTTACCAACTATGTTGATGCCACCAGTTCCAAGGGAAAAATTTGCATTAACCGAACAGTGGTTTTTAGAGGCTGGTAGCTGTCCAATCATTTGCTAATGCCACATTCACGCAAGCATAGAAACTGATCATAGAAACCAATCAGAAACCAATCAACCTAGCAACCCCCGGTCACTAAAGTGCGTATTTTGATGAGTTAATTTTAGAGGTTGCTGACAGTGCTGCACTCAGAACCTGCGTGACAGACGCTGACGTGACTGCAAACTTGTGCAAGTTGCTGGTAACACTGGTAGTGAAACTGTGAAAAGTGCAACACAAACCAGAAACGGAAACGGTTCACCCGCAGAGTTAAAGCTGTGCTATTTGAAATGTGATGACTGCAGCAGTAAAGCACATCTTTTACGCTGAAGATAAGTGTTCACCCTTTCTAGTTTGTGTCTCACAGTTTTTACATTTCAATGCTGCACAGAGAGTAGACTGATTAGTGTCTGCAGACATGTGCGGACCTTTCATGCAAACTGTGAGTTACTGTGTCAATCTGCCACTGATTGAAGGAATGACAAGGAAAGAATGAGCTTTGCTCACTCAGCGTTAGCCAGCAACCTCTAGCAACCACTTGCAACTGATTGACAAGACACATTTTTCCCTCGTGAGTGGTTGTCAGATCATTGCTAAGAGGTCTCTAGCCCCGAAGCCTTAGTTAGTTACTATTCGATAGATTTCCATGAAATAAACATCTGGTAATCCCTTTCATTTTTCTCCCGTGCCACCATGATGTTGACATTTTTAATTTTAAGTGTAATAGATCAGTGACTATCAGGTGGATTGTAATGAAATGAGGGAACCTAAACTAAGATTTCACACATGGTCAATATTATACTATAATGAAGTGTTTAACTGACATGAGCTGAAAAAAGAAATTAAGAGTGTTAATCAAGCAGATCTTATTAGGGCATTCCCACATATTTTGTTTGAGGGTTCTCTTCAGTTTCTGGTGCAGGTTTGCAGGGATGTCACTGTATCCTTTACCCGTCGCTTGTTATGGTAAGAACCCAACAGCTTGAAACAAGTTTGAAGACCAAGCCAACATTTGGTCTCTTTCTCATGTGTTTCAAGCCATTTTCTGTTTATTTTGTGTTGTAACGAGAACCACACATGTCCTCTTCGTATATACTCATTCACTGTATATAAAGTTCTGTCTCTCTCTTTTTCGTTGCACAGTCGAGGAGTGTATCAGGTCACATTTCACTGCGTGTTATACCTGTATAACCATGCATGTGACAAATAAAGAATCTTGAATCTCTTGAATCACAAAAACAACAACAACAGAAACGGCATCAGTATTTAGATAAGTAGTACATTCCAAAGTACAGCACTCAGCAGAACATCGTTTTGCTATTGGACAAATCACTTCAGATATTCTATATTTTGTGAATTGTTACATTTTATAGTTTTTAAAATGTTATAATCCTTTACATTACTGCCTTTGCAGTACGGTCACACCTTTCTGTAAATGAGTAAACAATGAAGAAAGCATGACAAAGGCAGGACAGTGAAGGCTGGGAAAAGGAACATTGTAATTATCCTGTAAGTGATTTGCAGATCTTTCTTTCTGCCTACATTCTCACAGAGTTTGACCCCCCCTCCAACCACACGCCGTGTGTAATGGAGGTGAAGACCCTGACAGGGGCCTTCCTCTTCTCTCTGGAATCCCAAACCACGATTGGCTTCGGCTTCAGGTGCATCACAGAGGAGTGTCCTGTAGCGATTGTCCTTCTCATCTTCCAGCTGGTCGTCACGATGGTGATGGAGATCTTCATCACCGGCACCTTCCTCGCAAAGGTAGTTTTAAGTTTAGAAGAAATTTTAGAAATGCCAAATTTGATCATCAGAAAAGTTGTGAAAGAGAACAAATTAAGTCAAAATAACTGTGCATCTTGTCCTTTCGTGTACATAGGATTATGTATGTGCATACAGTGGTCCCTCGTTTATCACAGGAGTTACGTTCTAAAAATAACCCCCGAGAGGTGAAATCCGCAAAGTAGCCAACTTTATTTCTTACAATTATTATAGATGTTTTCAGGCTGTAAAACCCCTCACTACACACTTTATACACTTTTCTCAGACAGGCATGAACATTTTCACGCTTTTCTCTCTTGTTTAAACACTTTCAAAGTTCAAACCTTCGTAGAAAAATAAACCCAGTATTATAGAATGAAACCAAAGGCACCCATGGTTGCCTTTGACGGTGCAAAACGTTTGGTCGACATTATTGTGTTTGTTGGGGAGAAAACTTACAAATACGGCATGAGACCAGTCATGATTGGCTGGTCTACAGCCAATCAGGACGCAATTTTATTTTATTTAAAAACATAAATAAATAAAAAAGCATGCAAAATTGCACCAAAAAAGAAAAAATCCCCGAAACAGTGAGGCCGCAAAAGGTGAACTGTGTTATAGCGAGGAACCACTGTAAATACAAAGTAGCTTACTTAAACCATTTCTTCTTGCTGTCTGCCTTCAATGTTGGATTCTTTGTTCAGCATCTTAAACATGTATTTTTAAAACATGTGGGTTACATTCTTATCACTGTTCCTTTTAAGTATCTTTTGACACATTTTCCCGTCAGCTGAGGGGGTTGCTACACGTACCTCTATCTTTTGCCCTCATATGTTTTCTTCACAGTATCATTACAGCAATCAGTATCCTTATTAAGAAATGTCACGCTGCGTGTTGGTATTACAGCATATCAGCACTCATATCTATCATAATGAGGTTTCTCGCAGCTGCTTCCTCCTGCGTGTGGTCTAAAAATTCAACAGTCTGTCTTGTCAACACGATCTTGTAATTTCCTCCTTCAATGTCTTCTTTTTCAACATGTCTGGGTTATTTTGTTTCAAAAACTGAAATAAGAAGCCTGATAAATATCGACAACAGCTTCGACTTTGCTTTTCTCGCCTTCCAGGTTGCTCGTCCCAAAAAGAGAGGAGAGACGGTGAAGTTCAGCCAACACGCTGTCGTGTCGAATCACGAGGGACGGCCGTGCCTCATGATTCGAGTGGCCAACATGCGTAAAAGCCTGCTGTTAGGTTGCCAGGTAATGCAGCAGCACCTACAAACTGATTATTGCTGCTTAAAATATCCTTTTGTAATATATGAAAGCCTTCTTCCTGTAACTGTTTGGAGTTACTATTTATGTTTAGTTCCTGGAAAGTTTGTTTTTCATTATGAGTCGCTTCATGTCTATAAAACGTTTTCCTGTTATCTGAATATTTGCTTTGCTGAGGAAAAGCTTGCTGGTGACAAATAAAGCGAATGATACGCATCAGTGCCTTGCTCAAGGACATGGAGATGATGGCCAGTGCAGGTATTAAACCTGGGGCCTTCTGGTTACAGGATGCCTTCTCCAACCTCATGGCTACATTTACTCACTGCATCTTGGCTCCCAGGTGACGGGGAAGTTGCTTCAGACGTCCCTGACAAAGGAGGGGGAGACGGTGCGGCTGGACCAGAGAAATGTGCCTTTCCAGGTGGACACGTCCAGCGAAAGCCCCTTCCTCATCATCCCTCTCACTTTCTACCACATCATTGATGACAACAGCCCCCTCAGAGCCTGGGCAGCAAAAGGTAAATCCCAGCTCGAGTCAGAATGATGTGGAAGGATGTGATGAATAAGTCAACAGATAATTGTCGTTTGTCAGTTTACAGCTATGATTCCTTTACACATCATATGACCACTGTACTTTAAATAGGGATCCATGTACTGTAAATACTAATGAAAGTGGGCACCGTGACCTCATCAATTAGTTTATGGTTGACTGTTTTAAAGCCTCAGTTTGGCTCTTAGTCATCACCGTAGCTCACAAAGCCATGGCTTACTTAGAAAGACACTTTTATTATTCAGTGTGACAATAAGCCGAAGGTACTTTTCTTGGTTAGTGAAAAAAAAACTGTAACAAAAACTTATTACTTATTTAAATGATTAAGTTGAAAAACCCCGCTCTTCCATGTGTCTTTTGTTAAAACTGAAAATTAACCAAGCATGGAGCTGATCCGATCGACTACTGGGAAACTCCTGGGTAAATCACAGATAGTCATCGCTTAAGAAATACTCTGTTTCAGCTAATAGTTTCACTCTACATGGGATCATAATTTACAAAATTGACATCATTGTTGTATTCAGATGATTTTAAACTAGATTGACAACAAATAAATAAATTCAGCAGAACAATGAACACAGCAATAAATAAATAAGTAAAGTCAGCAGTTGCTTTATTTTCCAAAGACTTCTATGCAGCTGGACTTTTGTAAGAATGCAGGTTTAGGGCTTTTTCCCACTGGCACCATTTTTCAGATCCTGAGGCTTTTTATATGGTGGACACGTCTTTTATTAGGGTCTAATAAAAGCTTATCTGCTTTATGCTGTACTGTATGAAATTTATAGCATGTTGAATAGTGCAGTGTGATTCTGATGAACTGTAACATGTTACATGTAAACAGAAAAAAATATGAGTACCATGCAAAAGATGTGGATGTGCTGCAGAACACAGAGAAAGGTGTTCGTACTGGGTAAACACAGATTTTTATTTTTTTTGTAGATGACCTTTGCTTGCCAAAATTTATGTCTAAATGAATGAAACAAACCTTTAATTTACAGAAAATATATTTTATAGGAACATTAGCAGACAATCAGGAGCGTTAAGCAATTTGTTTCATTCAGTTCATGGAGAAAGGAAACTGAAATACGCATCGGAATATTTTCAATTCAAAACACACACATCTGTTACTCCTGTTGTCTAAAATGATTCTCTCAATATTAACATTAAGTGTTGACAAGTCTTAGAATGTGACAACCGTTATGTTATTTCTAATTTCTCAGTCTTATTCTCAACCTCCAAATCAACCACTTAATGACAAAAAATAAAGATATTATATTGTATGAAATGGGTTCTTTATTTACATTTGCTTTGTATCAAATGTATATCATTGACAGAAGTTTTACTGTATGCACATTGAGTATGTATGTGCATGTAGGTGTGTTGGTATTTACGGTCATGTGCTGCGTGCTTGGCTGCCTCTCGGTGTCCAGTGTTGGGCTTGTTTGGCTCTATGAGAGAGGATTTCTCTGGCTGGAATGTGTGTGAGAGAGACTGCCAGAGACACCCCTCATTAGAGCACAATACTGTACAGTCTGGAGTGCTGACACGAAGCCTGCACAGATCCATTTACAGGAACTCAGGCCTGATGGAATCGTACTAAAATGACTCTATATATATATACACTATATATACATATATACATATATATGTAAACAAATATTAATATTATTAATTGTTTTGGTTTCTATAATGGTTAATCCACCTGTTGGTGAAATCTAATCTACAAAAAAGCAGAAAGAATAGTAAAGCACATCACTATTTTGGATTAAGAAACCCAGTTAAAGTTATTTACTTCCATTCCTGAACAGAAAAATTGGTTCTAGTTGTTGAATATTGTGCTCGACTAATTTCCTGACTTCTCAGAAGTGTGCCGGCTCAAATGTGGGTATTGAAAATGCGGACTCAGTTTGTTATTTGTATATGCTCCATAAGGTTTAATTTTAAACAAGCTTTTGACAAGTTTCTAAAATATTTCTACTGTAATTATGTTTCATTTTCACTTCCTCTAAACTAAACAATAATTTGCATTTGCAAGAAAAACTTATTGAAGCAAGCTTTCATGACCACGAAGCTTACAGCAGTACAAGCACTAAATCCATCTTAAAGACTCCAGATCTGTATCATTGTGTGTCATATCATCTACACACTGATGTAACCTCCTGCATGAGTAATAAAACGCCCCGAAAACATTTTATCTTTCAGTTCAATATTTAACTTGTTTTGAGTTTTTCTTAGTAATGGAAAAACTGTCATATTTCACGTCACTGATCTGTTTTTCAGTTGTTAACCCCTTTACACACTGACGTACAGAAAGTATACGACTGCTTCTAATGATTGTGAATGCATGCATGAATACCTCTCATGCAAACTTCAGGGACACAGAACACAGCACTACACTTATGGAAGTTCAGCAGTGAATGCCTCCTTATGGGATCTATGGGAATTTGGCTTCAAGTGCAAAAAAAACCCTGTTTCTCTACAGTTGGAGCAGCAGGGCAGAATACTCTGGCTCTCCAACTGCTGAGACAGAGAAGCACACCTTAACCACGTCATCACTGAAAACTCCATGCACAGAAACTAAAAACCAAAAGGCTTGCACTGAATCGTGTAGTGAAAGTCTTTGCTTACAATAATCTAGGGGATTGTGAAACTTTAAAGTGCTCGTCAGCTGCGAAAGACATACTTTTATAAGAAACTGGTTACACCACAAAACTACAGCTACTAAAAAAAAGTAATCTGTCATATTACAGCATTACATAATGAGAAAAGTAACTCCTTAGAGTGACAGTTTTAGAAATTGTCATGGGGGCATAAAGTTTTATACTATAAACTGTATTTTCAAAAGAATACATTTGAGTCGAGTTGATATTGGTAGCCCCGCCTCCATCCTTTAATTGGAAGAAGCTTCTTGGTTTTGCTCACAGTGAGACGTTAGCTAAAAGCTAACAGTGAGGGCTTCAGAAATGTAGCACTACATCGTTCTCCTCCCCCACAGCTCTCGTCATCAGTGCTATGCAGAGGTGCAGGTGCTTCATAGTGTTGAGTTCCCAGGTAAATAATGAAATACTTGCACAATGTGACTGCCATCCTCTCGACTGTGTTCCCAGTCCACCTCACTGACACAACTGCAGCATTGATAATTTAACCATGCATCTAAAAGTCAGAAGGACTTTAAAATTTATTTTTCTGTCTTCTATCAAACTAACAAAGTATTTTTTTACTCAGCCTATTCATCAATATAGAAAACAAAACAAACAAACAAGAAAAATGATGCACAAGGATCTCAACAATTCTTACACTTTCTTAAATATCTTACCTCACAACAATACATCAAATTACTGAGAGGGAACTGTACTCAGAAAAAAAAATGCATATCTTGTGGTGAGCAGGCCTCTCAGCTGAAATGCAAACAGTGCAGATCTCTAGAGGCGTGCTTGGAAGATCACTACATGCGGATGAGGCCTTTGCTCCGCCTGTAAAAAGGCCAACAGAGAGAATCCCGTGTGTATTAGTGGTTGCGAAATGTGGTGTTGTTGCCGTGGTGGGAGTGATTGTGGGTCTGGGTGAGGGGAAGACATGTTTACACAGATGAGTGAGTGTATTCTGAGTGAGGCCTGTTGATGCAGGTGTTTGCTTGTTTGGGTGCTGAGGTCGTGCACCGATGATGAGTATAAAGTATATTTTGTGTGTGCTTCTAAAGTACGTTCCACCTGTCTGTGACTACGCAGCAGCGCTTACGCTGCAGGCTTACTGACATTTCAGAAATGAGTTATTTCATTATTTGTGTGTGTGAGAGACTGTGTTGAGCGCTTTTGACAATGGAAAGTCATAAGTGGTGACTTTTCAGTGAACAGTCACTGTTTGTGAAAATGTACTAAAAGTTTTTGCTGATAATTTTTCCTTAAGTTCTGTATATTTAAGTCTGTGAAGCAGTTCTGTGCATGTTTGTGTGTGTGTATGCGTGTGTGTGTGTGTGTGGGTGTGTGTGTTTGTAACACTCATTTTCCACCGCAAGAGGCTGCAGCTTTGCCCTTTGTTCTAAGTAGTGCTAAAGGCACTTCCGAATGAGTGTTAATTTCTTCAAGCACTCTCAACAGAAGGCGTTTGTATTGTGTGTTAGCAAGTTCAAGTATATAAGACACAATCTGCAGTGTTTGTGCTTAGGTTACAAATGTATTGTACTTTGCTGGGCGTAGATGAGTGGAGTTTTTTACCACTTCCAGGACCCAAGACCGCATGTCTGTGGACATGAGTTTAAATAAACTGTGCTCTGATGTTAGTGTTTAGTGTTTCTGCTTTTCACACCAACTCACAAGATTCTACAGTGGTTTCTATTGTAGTTTACATTTCCTCATATGGAGGAAGGCCTGTTGCCTCATGATGGAGGCAGATTTGTAAGAAAAGCCAGAATATTTTTTATTTTTGACATGTGAGAGAAACTGGTCTAGACCACTTTTCACACTTATATCTCAACAACTGTTTTCTCTCCTGCCTCTTCCTTTCATACTTATGTGACTTGTAATCAGTGCTGCATCATATAAAAACTTTTATGCATTAACAGAAGAATTATGTGTTTCTGTATCAAATTGTATGTTTTTTTTATTAATGGGCTAAAGCATCAGAAACCAGTCACCTCGATACTCTTCTGGTTCTAGGTGGTGGCTGGACAGACCCAGAACTGGCTGACTTTGAGCTGTTGGTGATCATGAGCGCCACGGTCGAGCCAACTTCCGCCACATGCCAGGTTCGAACATCCTACCTTCCCGACGAGATCCTCTGGGGCTACGAGTTCCCCCCTGTCGTCTCCCTGTCCCCGTCAGGAAAATACGTGGCTGATTTTGCCTTTTTTGACAAAGTGGCAAAAACCAAAACTCCGCCCCTTTTCAAGCAGGGCCTGCCACCAGATGTGCAGTCGCAGGGGTCCCGTCAACGTAAGGGCAAGGAAGACGGAACGGACTTGGAAAAGATGAGACTGGAGGAGAGCTACAGGGGGGAGGAGAAGGGCCGCCAGAGAGGGCGTATTCGGGACAGCAGCCCACTGAGTGTTCGAATTAGTAATGTGTGAAAGGGTGAAGAAGAGGTTCTGAAAGTTGATGTGAAACCGAGATCAGGCAAAGATAGGAACAAAGAAGAAGCGACCACATTCTCATGAAGAAGCCTAAACTGCCAATGCATGAGTTATTCTAAAGTACGTGGCAGGAAACTGAACACCTGGGTGTTAAGACTGCGCATGAAAACCAGACACACTCTTTAACCACAAGGCTGTATACGAGAACAAACAAAGAAGATGTTTACAGCCTTTCAGAGTTCGAATATCAAGTTACAAACCTGACTTATACAAATCGACAGCATGCTAAAAGATTTTTGGAAAGGATTTTCAATGATGTCAACAAATTAGTGTCTACACCGTATTTTTTTTAGAGAAAATTGAACGAGATGAGCCACGAACTTCAAAGCAAGTTCAATATACCCTGAGCATCTTTCCATTGTCTACATTCACTTACCCTAGTAATGGCAGTCAAGTGGTCACATGAAGCTGGTTATCAATTTGCTAAATTAACCCAGGGTTTCTCCTACATATCCATTTGAAAGGCAACAATAATACAGGCTGAATGTAACACAGCTGCTGCAGATAAATCAGCAGTGTCAGTGTGTGTGTGTGTGTGTGTGTGTGTGTGTGTCAGCGTGTGTGTGTGTGTGTGTCAGCGTGTGTGTGTGTGTTGGGGGTGGGAGGGTCCTAAACAGTGGTTTAATATTAAAATGCATGTATGTATGTATGAATGCATGTGAGTGCTTTGGTCAGTAAGACTGGAAAAGAAGAGATGATATATTAATAAAGTTTAGCCTATTTGAATCCAGGAAATAAAGCCAGCAGAAAAGGCCAACTGTGTGAATTAAAAGACTTATCAATATCAAAGCTCTGTCACTAAGACACAGGAGAATGATGCTCATCAGGGAAAAAAGAGACTTTAGACAGTATAAAAAAACCCTTTAGACCCTCCTACTGTCTGAGCAGAATCTTTCTACTGTCTGCGGAATCTTCCAGGAATGGTGACGCTATTTTCTGGAGAACTGATTGGTCAGCGAATTAGGTTTGCAGTGTCTTTTTTAGCACCAGACACTAAAAAGAAGTCATGCATTACTCATTACTTTTCTTTAAAGTAATTCAGTACATTACTTAATTGCCAAACAGAATATCACAGTAAAGCATGCGATAGACACGCTGGTCAAAGTGTCAATTTCATGCTTTACCTATCCAAAGCAGTAAATGGACATGAATGCAAAGGTTGCATTACTAGCAGAGGGAGATAATAAATTTGCTGGCAAAGTTTTGGTGTGATATCAGGTTGAAAGTTATTCATTATACTGCTGAGATTACTTATTGTTACTCCATGAAATGACCTAAAAAGCAGTGTCCCATAATTACCATTTAAGAATATAAACCTGAGTCTACATTCCCACACATCAGCACAAATCAATATCCCAATGAGGACACACACACACGATCATTTATTTCATTTTTACTTATGAAAACAAAGCAGATGAAAGATGAAAACCAGAGACTTCAAAGCCGTCGCCACAGTGATTCTACTTTAGAAACATGAACAGGTAGAAACAGAGGCTTCAGTCTGACTTCTCAGCAGTTTGTTACCTGTTAAAGTTCAGGGTCTGGCTGCTGGGCTGGGGTCGGCTTCACTCTGCTTTATCATCACTCTTGGCTAGCTTAGTGTTAGCATGCTGCCTGTGCAGATGGTTGTAAAGAGCTGAAGTTGCGTTAGTAACATAATGCAGCCGTTTCTTTCCCAGAAGCTGTTTGCACTTTACCATCACTTTTTTTTTTCTTCCTCCAGCACACAAACTGAAATCAGCTGATTGTAGCACATGTGTGTGAGAAGAAGACAAAACCTTTGTTCCATGTTTTTTCTTTGGATCCTCCTCCCTTACTTTTGCAATGAAAGCAACAACATAAATATACATACAACAAATGTTAACTGTAATGCAATTATTGGATTACAGTAATGCATTAAATTACTGTGTTATTGAAAAAATAAAAACACTGGATTTTAATATAAGAAATGAACCACCTACATCATACAGAAAACCCAAGATTAACCTGGATAAGAGGTTACTTTGTAGCACAGTCCTCAGGGTAGCAGATAAAAAATCAATCTGTAATAAAAATCATCAAAGTTAAGGATTATTTAGGATTTTTTAAAACATTTTATCTAAGAAGAAAAATGCTGAGGCAATTCTGGCTTGAGAGTAGTTTTACAGTGAAGCTGAAGGTTGGATGTGTTGATTCACAGGACTGGTTTTGCTTTTTTGTAAAAATAAATAAATACCTGCAACAGGTAACAAGAACTGGAACTGTAGTATTTGTAATGAGGGATTTTAAAGGGCAGTACCAACATCACTATGTGAAAAATGAGCTCTTTTATTCAGACGTCTCATTGTGTTCGTTGGAGTACATATATGTTTAGTAATGTTTTAGCATTTTAACTTAAACAAAAGGTGGCATTTTATACAGACAGAGTAACTGAACTAACTCTAATACTTAATGCACTGTATTAATATGATTTAAACCATGTGGAGTTTTGAGTGCGAGCGAGTTTTTTTACACCTTCAAACTGTTATCGAGTGAGTGTGATAATACTTTCTGTGTGTGGATGTTGAATGCGGATGTTAAATGTGAACTGTTTTAAATATTCTGTACAGTATGCTTTGTGTAGTCCCACAGAAGTCTTGAATCGCTGTGCTTTTAAAATAATCTTTTAATGCTGTTACACCATGATAACAAGTTAGCCTGAGATAACAAAGGTTGTTTTCTTGTGGTAACGACTATTTAAAAAAAAAAAAAAAGGTTGTTTACTCTTTGTTTATTAGACAACATGAGCTTCAAGCAAACTACAGGAGGACTTTTTTTTTTGGCTGTTTTGAATATGCTTATTAAAATACAGAGGAGTGTAAATTGTTGATAATGCGTTATTATTTCTGTAAAGATCTATTTTCCTCTTGGTTTTCTATCAGGAATCATGACGGCACTTTTCATGTATCGTTAATCCATAAAGGCGACTAATCATAAAATAAATTGAATAAAGACACATGAATGGGTTTATTCTGTCAACCCTAGTTTTCCGTCTCATCAAAACAGAAAGTAAAATTGTGTGTTTATCCTTGCACTCAGATAAGCAGAGGTGTTATTTTCACCCCTATGGTGAATCATTTTTGCGGCTTTGTGGTGCAACAGGAACATCAGACAAACAGCGGCTTGTGTTTTCCACCCTTTTATCATTACTCATTCCTACGAGCGGAAATTATTCTTTATAAGCGCTTTACAATTGGTTTACAAATGTTGTGGCAATTCTTTCTGATACAGACAATTGAGTTATTCAAGTTATTCTAAAATAACAGCATTAAAAAATTCACAGCATCACAGCCTTTCTTGGCTTCTGTACACGTATGTACAGTATGTATAAATATTTTATCTATATTCCTTGTTTCTGTATGTCTTTGACATCTTGTGTAAAGCTTTGTGTTATTGTGGCAGATTAACAGAGTTATGATAAAAGTTTACGGGGACTTGCTGACTTTGACACAATAAGTTCAAATATTTTATTTATTTTTAAGGAACCCAGTTTTATAAAGAATACATGCAAAAAGATAGTTATAGCAAAAAGATCCTTTATTTTGTATTTTCTCGCCCACATTAAATGACCAGCAGAGATAAAATACTAATATGGATTCCTTCGCTGGTGAAGAACATGAAAAATATTCAGAATAAGTAAAAACACTTAAGTACGAGTCTCTGATTAAAGGCTTCCTGTATAAGCTGTATATGTATATGGTTCACTTGTAATTCTGGAAGCTCATTGGTCTAACTGCTAATACACTTTCAAGTGTGTCTTTAAATAATAAATGTTTTATTTGCAACATCCAGAAGTCTCTGATTGTGTGTGTGTGATAAAGTATTCGTCTTTGAAATATCTGCAGATACCGTCTGAATTATGAAACAAACACTTAAAAAATAATCTGATGACTTAAGTCATACTTGGTGCTTTTATAACAACTTATGATGAATATTCAGCCTCCAACCATCCTGATCACACCGCAAATAAAGTTCTGAAATCTGAATTAGCTCAAAGCACCAATAGCTCATATTCCATTAATGAATAATGGGGCCATTACTTCTGTATAAATTTGGACTAAATTCATATTTCACAAAACTATCCAAAAGTGCAAAACTAATAATAATCATGATGCTATAAACTGCTTTACCACAAATACAATATTACTGCTAAATTTAGCTGATCAGTCAATTCAAATATTAATTTTATGTTTGCTAACAATCAGCTTTTGCTAGACTTTGACTTCCATCTTATTATCTAGTTGTATTTTTTACACTTTAAGTGGAAGAGTTTGGAAGAGTTTCAGAATATAAATATGTATATGTATAATGTGTGTTGCTTAGACTCAGCCTACTTATTTACATTTTATTATTTCATTTATTTTATTTGGCATGTTCTAAAGCTCTGGTGGTGCTTGCTAATCTGGTGAGACTTTCAGGTAGAAGGGTGGGATTTGGCGGGTAGGTGTGGTGTCCACTGTGTGTGTGAGTTTGAGGAAAGACCAGCTACTGCTATCATGTGGACATTTGAGTCTGTAGACAAGCAGCACGCTGTTATATTCATGGCTGACCAGTCACCTGGCGTGTGGAGCTGTTTTAACCTACCAAGAGGTAATTAGGAGTCTGAGAGGGTTTTTTCAAAACCAATAGACCCTGTTCATGAGAAAACGCTGACTTCCTGTTTTAAGACCAGATGTAGAGTTGTATATTTGCGGTAGCTTTATTTTGCGGTCAATTGCTACAGCGAAGGTGGACTCCAAAATCATGTCCAAAATATGAAAACAGAAAGATCGTGTGAAGTTACAAAGAGGAGAAGGTGGGAAAACTCACCTGTGCTGTGTCATTAACAAAATCAAATGATCAATTTTGATGTTTGAAGAGTGTAGATCGATTGGTTGTTTACATCACTCAACACAAGCACAACTGCATTACAAAGTCAGAAGACACATCGTCCACATTCAGAAGCACATTTCTGTATAGTGACAGTTCTTATGATTTAAACAGGCAAATGTTCACCTTTTAAACTATCAGGAGCCA